TCCATGATATCATTGCTATTAAGTACTCCCTCCGTCCGTTGTAACTACTAAAACTTGATAGGACCTATGATATCATGGCGTGCCCTCATTTCATCTTTTAATTTCAATTTACTATATCTTTTGAATCAAAAGTCTATATTAAGTTTTGTTTGCATATTTTTGTTTGTTGTGACAAGAACTTTTGAACAAGACCACTCTTGAGTATATTTTGACAACTTGAAAAACACTCCTAGTTTCAACATTCAAACTTGATAGTCATAACATTAAATTTTCCCGACTTTCATCAAGTTTATATGCTTTTAAGGTTTTATGGTTCTGGGCTTAGAGCTTAGTGTTTAGGGTTTAAGTTTTAGTTTTGAAACCTACCAAATCTATCATAGGTCGCTTGTTTTGCTCTACGATTCGTAAATTCATTGGATTCCGCATGAGGGCACACCATGTTTTGAGTTTTTGTTTCTGAAACTTGCAATTTTTATCGTTCACTTGTACCAAGTTTCAACGGTTGAAACTTAACGAAATTTTCAAAACTCACCACAATGCATTCAAAGTGGATGTTATTTGAAAGCCCTCGTCACAAGTGTTGGAGCTAAATCCGACAGATCTCAGGTAGGGGGTCTAGATCTGGTAGGCTTGGCTAGATGGTAACAGGAGCTAGGCACGGTGTTTACCCAGGTTCGGGCCCTCTCGAGGAGATAAAACCCTATGTCCTGCTTTGATTGTATTATTGTGGATGGGGTACAAAGTACAGGTGATGTACCGCGAGAGTGTATGTCAATGAGTACGTCCCTCTAAGACCCTGACACCTCGGTTTATATAGATAACAGAGGTGCCTAGGGTTACACATAAGTCGGTTGCGTCGAGGGGCAAACATGCCAGAGACTACCTCTAAATCTTGGAGTATGCGCCAAGTCTTTGGGTCATTCCTTGGCGTTCTTGGGTTAGACAAACGAGGCCCATTGGTTGATGATCTTAGAGGGGTCCTCGGCCCAGCTCAAAGAGTCGGTAACTGACATGCCAAGCACCCCCTAATGTAGGACTCAATCAACAAGCAACATGAATCTACAAATGAAAATTAAATTGTATTTATCGTTCACAAGATATAGAAGATTCAAATATGAAAGTCAAAAGAGAGCATGGAAGGTGGCATGGGGAAACAGCCAAAAGTTGTGCGCATGGACCCCATCTAAAGTAATTACGAGTTAAAGCACATGAGCAAAGCAGTCTTGGAGTCACGAGGCAATCGGGCCGCAAATCTGCATGCCCCCACACCTTGGTGCTACAAATCCCCTCCCAATACTAGCTTAACCCTACAATAGAGTGTATCACTCAAACTATCTTTTATTCCTACAAAAGAGTGCATCACTCAAACTATCTTAACCCTAGACGCAACCCAATGCCAGCTATGCCCTTGCACTCACGCCATTGCCGGTCGGCCTCGCCTCTGGTGCCCTATGGGCCTTGAAGATGTGGCGGATCCCAATTCCTGGCCGGCAGGAGCTCCCATTCATTTTTTTGTTAAGTTTAGTGTCTTTTCTAGGGTGATGAGGTGCTGGCGGCATGCTATAGTTAGAATAATTTCGTTCATGCTATGTCTCCGCTTGGGTGGTGTGTTTAATTGGCAACGGTGGAGGGCGCATGAAGGTTATGTTTCATTAGATTTGGTTGGATCATGCAGTGTGTATTGATGCAATCGGTAGTTGTGTGCGAGGTTTGTGAAGTTGTGCCGATGAGAGATGGTTGTTTCTTCATCGTTGTCGAGGTTGTTTGTGTTCCTCCTCCTCTTTCGTACCGTGAGGGTGGTTGGTGGTCTGTTGTGTATGGGTAGATTCCTAGTTCATTCTTTCTCTTTGATCTAGGTCACGCCCTCCAGGACGGTTCAAATCCAATGCTGGCGACTACCTTGGTAGGCTTTGACGGAAGTTGATGAGTTTATATCTTCGTTCTGCGGGTGTTGCTATGGAAATGCGAGGAGGGAGTGCGGTAAAAGGAGAAGACGGCGAGGTTGAGGAGGGTGCTTTGTGTGGAATTGTGTACAATTTCTTGTTTATGTAGGGGCTTGTTTATAATGTACAGAATAGTTGTCATATCCTAGCCCCAACCCGCTGCTATGTATTCCTTAATTTTCTTAGATATACATATACAATAAAATGATTGCCAGTTTTTTGGTCTCACAGTGATGAGCAATTTCATCGCTAATTTGTTTATCGGGGTTAGTCAACGTACTGCTTGCCTGCCACCAGATGAAACCTACAGTCTCAAAATCACGCGCACTGTCATCATCAAACAATAAAAACAACACGAAACTCTTTCGCACAAACTTCTTTTATTCTAGGATAAAAAAAATACAATCATTTATCATCAACTACATACGCGGACCTGGCTAAGCACGTAGCCACTCGACAGCACAGCTAGCCGCCCAGTCGTCGGTGTTGTTGATACCATTGACGGGTTGTGTGTAGCCCGTCAGTGATATATGACCACGGACGACCATTTCCATAGCAATGTTTCTACGGCCTGATTGCAACTTGCAAGGATATATATCTCTCTTTGTTGAGTGAATAGCATAAAACTATCATAATTCGTGTTAAGGTTTCAAAAAACTCCTATATTTTTATTTGTGACTGATAACTATCAAAATCGGCGTCGACTGTTTCAAAAACCCCCAAATCTCCCGTTGCTAAGAAATTAAACGGGTTTATGACAGATCGGGCACACACCTAAACAAACCGTCCGTTTGACTGTTGGTTTGACCGTTAAATAACATGTGGGCTCCAAATGTCAGTGTCTCTTACTCTTTAACAAAAAAAAATCTCATGTCATTTTCTCTTCAACCCTTGGTTCTTTTACAAATTTAAAAATACGCCCTTATTTTTACAGAATAACCCCTATAATCATTTAGAAAAGGCAATCGGGTCCCTCAATCATTAAAAAAGCAATCTGGCCCAGAAAATCCCATTGGCCATCCCCATGCTCCTCCCTGGCCATGTCATCGCTGCGCACCAAGTCGCCGACTGGGACCTGCGGTGCTAGCGTGATCTGGCATAGGCAGCGCCGCCGAGGGCTGCTACCTCCTCACCCGATCCGTTCCTCCACCATCGTGCGGGAGGTCGTGCTCCGGCCAGAGGGGTGCCGCCATGTGCCATGGAGGGTGCACTACCCACCTCCGATACCCGGCGCACAGAGGGGTCGGCCACATTCGTTGCCCGCCTCCACAGAGAGGCCGGCCACACCGCCATCACCTCGAGTGGCGCCGCCATGAATCGAGCCCGTCGCCCCCGTGGAGGTCCGCCTCCGTGCCGAGGCTGGCCACACCGCCACCACCTCGAGCCGACGCCGCCATCGACCAACGCGTCGAGCTGCTCCCTGTGTTGCCTGTTCCCCCAACCTGTCCGTCGCCGTTCCTCACGGTGGGCGTGGGCGAGTGGCCTCACCTCAGGGACCTGATTGCTTGAAGAGCGGGGGGATTTAAGATTTTTTTTGCAAATGAGACATTGACATGTGGGTCCCACATGTTAGTTAACGATCAAACAAACAGTCAAGCTGACGGTTTGTTTAGGTGTGGGCTCGACGTGTCATAAACCGGTTTAAATTCTTAGCAACAGACGATTTGGGTTTTTTGAAACAACCGACGCCGACTTTGATAGTTATCAGTCACAAACAAAATTTTGGTACTTCCTCTGCATCGGTGTATAAGGTGTGTGCGTAGTTCTAGGTCATCGATTTGACTAACCAAATATGTGTTATATTTCACCAAAAGTATATCATTGAATTCCCAAGAGGATGTAGTTTGTAAACATATATTTTTCATCACATATAATACATATTTAGCTAGTTAAATTGTCAACCTAGAACTACACGCATGCCCTATACACTGAGACGGAGGAAGTAGTTTTTTTGGAACCCTAACGCGAATTGTGGTAGTTTTATGTTATTCACTCCTCTTTCTTATATCATGTCGTGGCATGGCATCAATTTACTCAATTTGCTGTCTATCAGTCCGAGGTTAAGGACAGGATTGCCCATAGATCTCATGGCCATCCGTCGTGGCTCTGCATCTGATTTCATTTCCATTTCACACGTGCTCTAAAAAAATCTCTTCAGCTTCCCATGTTTCAGACGTGCCAACTTACTATTACCATCGCGCACGGTGTGATAGATCGGCCGATCGCCGGGGTGGCATCATACGCCGGTCGCATCTAGCCTCCAAGATGAAACCTAGAACTGCAAGCAATATATAATTACATAGATAATCGTCCATTATTAACTGGCACTGTCAGGAGAAATCTACACACGCAACTCTCTGTCGATCTCACAAAGCTCTTTCTTTAAGGATAGTAGAGTAAAAAATGTATGATCAACTGTTAACTACATAGGGAGACCCGGCTGAGCAGGTAGCCGTTCGACAGCACAGCTACGCAGCCGCATCACCGAGTGGGTTTAGTCAACTGCCTGCCTTCAAAAAATCAGGACAGCATCCCTTTCTTATCATCACATTTTTGTCGAGATAATACACAAAAAATGAAAAATGAAAACAACTACTCCCTCTGTAAAAAATAATATAAGAGAGTTGAGATCACTACAGTAGGAGTAATGATTAACAATTAATTAATCACATGGAGTCCTAGTCTTAGAGAGTAGAGAGACCTAGCTAGCTAATTAATCAGGTAGGCATTCGACAGCTCAGCCAGGCAGCTGCATCAGCCAGCGAGTATATATTTGTAGTTGTACCCATCACCCTTCTCACAATCTTACAGCCCAGCTAGCTAAGCTAGTGGAGCATTGGTCCCTGAGAGCCAGCACAGCTAGCACACCAGCAGCGGCATGATATATATGGGAGCAAAAGCTGGATAGATAGATATGTGGATACGTGGATCAAGCATCTTAGTTTAGCTTAACCCAGCACTCACGCAGCACAAAAAAAGCAGCACCACCACTAGTTGTTTCTTCGTGGTGTCAATTGCTCAGCTCGATCGATCGAGGTGTCTTGAATCCCGGCTGCCATGGCGAACTACCGGCTCGGCGGCGGTGGCAACGGGCACTACGAGATGGCGGCAGCAGCGGCTGCGGCGTGGAGGGAGCCGGAGAGCCCGCAGCTGAGCCTCATGAGTGGGTGCAGCTCCCTCTTCTCCATCTCCGGCCTGCGCGACGATGACGCCGACCTCCACCTCCTCACCGGCGCGCGCTCGCTGCCGTCCACGCCGGTCTCGTTCGGCGGGTTTCCTGGCGGCGATGAGGTCGACATGGAGCTGCGGCAGGGCGGCGGGAGCAGCGGCGAGGACCCGAGGACCATCCGGATGATGCGGAACAGGGAGTCCGCGCTGCGCTCAAGGGCCAGGAAGAGGGTACGTACACGAATACGCACATTCCTTCATATATACGTATAAAATTGCAGAAGGAAGTCTATCATTAGCTCAAATTTTGATATATTTTTTTGGTTTCAAAATATACTCCTCTGTAAAGAAATATAAGAGCGTTTACTCAAGGTAAACCAAGGTAAAATTATGACTATGTTACACGAAGAGATTCACTAGTCCCTTTTTTTAAAAGAAAATGAGGATTCACTGGCTAGAAATGTTTGAATTCGCATGGGAACTTGTCAACTTCGGAAAAAGAACACTATGTAAATCAGATTTTGTAGCGAAAGATAAGTGTCACCGGAGAAACTCTCAACTAGTGACTAAGTTTGGTCAATGTGTTAAAAGGCAACCCGAAAGACAAATGGAATGTGGCATCTCTTTCTGTCTCGCATCATGTTGCATTCATGCAAATATATTTTGATCAACATGGGCTAAAAATATATATCTCTCTCTTCCGTGATTAGTGCTCTACTTCACCTAATACAGAATCTTGATTTCAATATAAACCCCAGTAGGCCCTAGAAAATATAGCTTTAAGAAAACAAGTGAGTCCGTCGACCTAATCCAACTCTAGCAAAGGAACAACAGAAGGAACAATATACATCTTCCTGGACGGCATATAAATCCTTTGCATCTTGGAAGTTTGTGATCAGCTGGATATAGACACCAATACATAAATTTCCAGGTTGTTACAAGAGAAAAAGTAACTAAACTCAGTGATTTGGAGTTTGTGACCAGCTCAAACCAAATCAGCAATACACAAATATCCAAGTTGTTACAAGATTAAAGTAACTAAGATAGTTATTTCTCTGTAAAGTGCTCATAGTAGTTGGACACAATTTCTCATTCTTTTATACTTGTGCGAATCATCAAGTCTGTTCGGACGATATGCAAACGGTGACATAAAAAAAGATTTTTCTCGGCCGAAAGAGAAATAGCAAAACCGAACTTGAAGTATTACTGGTTCCACGTTAAAAAAAGTATTGCTGGTTATTTGGTGTTTATGAGAAGCAGGATGGACATAGCAGGCTCTGTTTGCCATTATATGGTGGACTTTCAAACCCACTTGTTTGTTAATATGATTGTTAGTTGAAAAGCATCATCTTTGATTAAGATGTATAAACAACATACCTTCACTAAATTTATTATTAAGAAAACCCCTAACCAACTATATTCCGCAGCACAGTTCAGCAAGAACATCACCGTAGACATCGATAGACCGATGTCAGTTGAGCTGCTGACATCCATCCAACTAACTGCTCCAAATTAACTTTGTCTTCATGTGCTCATGATTTCGTTGACAAGACTTTGCAGAAGATAACTACTCCAAATGAACCAATAATGCTCTATGGCTTTCTCTCACGCATGTTCTTATCTGAAGTGCTAGCTAGTGCGGCACAAGTAGGCATACACCTGAAATCAAACCACAATTGCCCGCAGGAGCAATAGTATTCTACAAGATTTGCAAGCTATTAGCAGAATTAGCACTGATTAGTGAAGTAACTAATGTGCTTGCAGGCATATGTGGAGGAACTCGAGAAGGAGGTTCGACGTCTGGTGGATGACAACCTCAAGCTGAAGAAACAGTGCAAAGAGGTACCCACACAGCACTTAACCAATTATTACTCCCTCCATCCCACAATGTAAGACGTTTTCGCAAGCTACATTGCGGGACGGAGGGAGTAGTTAATTTCTGGACACTGCCAAATTGTAATCTATGAAACTGTAGAAAATTACCTCACCTGTGCAACTCAAAAGTGATCTTCTCCTGCTTCTCATTTATCTGCTTAGAGACGCTTATTTTATAAGTTTTCCATAACCGCTGCAACATATTACATCCAAATGCTTCTTCAGTTAGCAACATATAATCTCCATTGATTCTGTAATCTGACCACACTTAATTGCCCTTTGATTCTGTAATCTGATCGGCAGCTGAAGCGGGAAGTGGCCGCCCTGACCCTGCCCACCAAGAGCTCTCTCCGGCGAACCTCGTCCACCCAGTTCTGAAAGGGGATCAGACGGCCCAAGACGCAGAGCAGAAGTGCATTTTGGCAGTACAAATTTAGGAGAAATTTAATCAAACCTGTGAAAATTTCGTCTACAGTGTGTGTGTATACCTATGTACATGATCGATCCAAACCTATAAATGCTCTTGGGCCTTTTTGTGCGTGTCTCTAAAAAAAAGAAACGGAATTTCATTGGTAGAGAATTAACTTTTTGTGTTTTTGTTCAGATTAACCTATCTTGCCACTTTTCCCTAGTGCTTTGCTGGGATAAAGTGTGTTCTGTCAGCAAGACAGCAACCACCATTTCAAACTGAGGCAATGCCCGGATGGTTAGGACATGATAATAAGTCCTGACCCATGGAGTTTGAGCCTACGTGGTCGCAACATTTGGTTGACGCACCACTCTCCTTAACCCTAAGACCAGAGGAGTTCTCCCTTGTCACGTTTGAAGAATTTTATTGCTCTTTTGGCCTCTTTATTTATTTTATTATTATTTATTACCATCCTGATATGCTTTCTTAGTTATTTTCATAGTATTGTTGGTATTGTCACTGGACAACTGCATTTCACTCGGATAACATTTTCTTTAGTTGGACAGTTGTTAAATGGTACAATAAGTGTAGTGTTCTGTTTAAAATTGAGCAAGAAAAAGGTGGGTGCAAGGTGCTCATTCCATTTTGGAATGCGATGGAAGGACTCTCTGAATGGCTATCATGTTATCCCGGCGCCCGCCTTACCACATTTGTGCGCTCAGCACACTTTAAATGATAGCGGAAGGAAGGACTTTTTTGCACGTAACAATTAACAAATAGAGCATGTTGCAATTCACACCGCCTCATTCGGTATTGTTTTCGGAGATCATCTTTAAATTTGTTACTGTTTATTGGCACAGAACAACGGGTAGTTCAAGCCATGCTTCACACCTTGTACTGATTTGCTATTATTATGTGTACTTTCTTGTTGAGCATCAGAAATGGTGACGACTGAGTATTAGGTTTATCAATCATGAATCACCGAAATGTAAAAAGAAAGTGCTACTAGGAAGAACGGTGCTATGCGTACAACAAACCTACGTACCAGGGGTGCATGAGTCTGAGTCCGCTTCTCCTCGCTTTCATCGTTGCCTACAGGGGTAGTGAATTTACCGTAACCACACCTAAGGGCTAAGGCACATGCCCGAGCTCTACGCAGATATGCACAGGAGCTTCGGTGACCCCTACGTCGAACATGGTGGCTGGAACAATGAAATTTTCATGATGACTTGCTGCTTTTTGGGGTGAATATTGTGTGCCTCCCATCACTTGGTCCTTCAAGAATGTTATATATCACTTATAGCGAGCATTACCATACTGCTCCGAAACAGAAATCACCGAGTGGGCTTGCCCGCTAACGGATCGTGTTTGCTGAGTGGTTTTCAGAAGGTTCCCGGGAGCTTCTCACTTGGTTTTGTGAAGCTTCCGGGCAGGTTTGTTTTTGTTTTCCACCGGAAATTTTCTTATTAGTTTTTTTAAGTTCATTTTTTATCTTTCTTATTTTCCTTTTGGAATTTTCACAGTTTTTGAATTTGTTTTTTTATTTATGAACATTTTTTGAATTCATGTCACTTTATGAATTTGCAAACATTTTTCTACATTCGTGAACACTGTTTGAATTTTTATCTTTTTGAATTCATGAACATTTTCAGCCAATTTGACGTGAGCCATCTATTGGTATCAAACAACCAATATGGAAAAATTTCTAAGGATTATAATCCTTTAAAATTCTTATGAAAATCATTTGAATCAAAGAAGCTCTAAGTTAGTTACAAAATGTTACGATTTTCAGCTGATTTGGCGTGAGGCATCCGTTGGATTCCAATCCAACGACTGCCCCTTCGTCTTCCTCTCCCAACCGTCATTGTTCATCTTCTTCCTCCAACACGACACACAATTTCTTCCCAGCTTCCTCCTGCCTTTCCACTTCTGCAACGTTGAGGCAAGCCGCGTTGTTAGCACATGTGGCAAGGTTCCGGTCCGGCAATGGTGATGCGGCGGTCGTTCCCGTCTATGGGGATAATTAAATTTTCTCGAAACATAATCAACTAAATTTTGTTTTGTATACCTTGATGATAAGGATCCAACTGTGAAATTTGATTGTAAATCGGGCAGATGGTTTGAGATATTATTTTCCTCTCACAATTAGTTTTAACTAGGAGAGTTGTGCGCGCTTTGCTGCACCGTTCATGTTGTTGGGTTTCTTAAAAAATCACTCCGCTTCAAAATATAAGGCGTATTAATTTTTTGAAAAGTCAAACCTCTTAAGTTTGATAAAATTTGTAGAGAAATATACCAAAATCCATAATATCAAATCGGTACTTTTAGATTCATCACGAAATAAATTTCCATACTTCTTTGTTTAATATTGTGGAGCTTAGTGTTATAGTTGTCATGTTAACTTTCTCTTGTGTGCAGCTTACAATTTCTTGTGTGTTCTGGATACGCATGTTCACCTAGCATGTTACTTTTTGCATGTCTAATCCAAAGGCAATAATTGTGAAATTTCGACCCTCACTTGACAGCGATACTGACACTGCCGGTGTTTGCCCTACTAACGTTAGATTACGTGTTTATTTCTCTGAGAAACTTCGGGAAGTTGGCTGCAACTTGCTTGAAAGATGCTCTCGGCATATATGCTTCTAAAGACTGCACGGTATATAACGAATCTCAGTTAGTAACACCCGCCTTGTTGATTTACAATTATTGCATGCAAGACGTGATCCAAACCTACAACCAAGGTTGTGAGAATCATGATTCTGTTATACGATTCTACGACTTTACGATCCAAGTAACCCCTCTTATTCTAAAATTTTAGTTCATATAATCTATATTTCTACGATCCTAATAGTGAAGATTCTATAATTTGCGATCCTACCATCAGAGCTCCATCCGATTCAAAATCGCGATTCTGACAACCTTGCCTACGACACCAATTAAGAAACACATAATCATCCATCTTTGATGATGTAACACTAGCTAGCTTGACCGACTATAGGTCTATGTATGCTAGCTAGAATTAACTACACACATTATTGCCCTTGCTTAGCTTTCTTTGTTCAAATTTAAATATTGGTCAGTTTGCAAGTCGAAACTCCAATATTCCAAGAGGCCGGTGAACTCTGATGGCGATAAAGCCTAGCCAAGTACATGCATATGCATGAATCTAGGGCACGTGCCCAAGCTCGGTGTCTATACGCAGGGGAGATTCGGTGATCCCTGCGTCGAACATGGCGGCTGGAACAATGAAATTTTCATGAAAATGATGCCTGCTGCTTGTTGGGCTGAATAATGTGTGCCTTCCATCGCATGACCCGTCAGGAATGCTATATATCGCCTATAGCGAGTGGTACCATACTACTCGGTAACAGCAATCGCTGAGTGGGCTGGCCCACTACGAATCGTGTTTGTTGAGTGGTTTTCAGAAGGTTCCCGGGAGCTTCTCACTCGGTTTTGTGAAGCTTCCGGTCCGGTTTGTTTTTGTTTTCCCTGGATTTATTCCTATTATCCTTTCTGCTGTTTTTTCTTTTGAAGTTCATTTTCTCATCTTATTTTCTGTTTTTCCTTTCTTGTATTCTTTTGGAAATTTCACAGATTTTCTTTAAATTTTCTAACATTCTTTTTTTGTTAAAATTTCAAATTATGATCATTTTTTAAATTCATGACACTTTATGAATCTGCAAAGAACATTTTTTGAAGTTGCGGAGAATTTTTGTGTTCACATTTTTTTTATCCGTGAACATGTTTTGAATGAGTGGACATTTTGAAAATTCGCAACAATTAGTTTGAACCCGTTAATTTTTTTTGAATTCGCGAACATTTTCCCTAATTCATTTTTTTGCACGGGGGGCGGAGAGTAATTCATTGATTAAGTAGTGATGGTTTTACAATTTTCTGGAATAGTGTTGCTAATCTCCGGTGGCACATGAGCCAACCAACAAGATGTACGTTGTTGTCCTCGCCCAATTGCTACTATCACATGCCCAGCCTCGTTCTGTGTATGATTGATCTTCCGAACATGAGCTTGCCTTTCCTTGAGGAGGCCAATGCTTTCAGCAACTTGGTGCATGTTTCTTGGCCGATCTGCTGCCCCCCCGTGTTGATGAGAGAGACGATCTCCGTGGAATCGGTCTCGACCACCAACCGCGCCCAACTGCTACTATCGCATGCCCAGCCTCGTTCTGTGTACGAATGATCTTCCGAACATGAGCTCGCCGTTCCTTGAGGAGGCCAATGCTTTCAGCAACTTGGTGCATGTTTCTAGACCGATCTGCTGCCCTAACATTGATGAGAAAGACGATCACCGTGCAGTCGGTTGCGACCACCAACTTTTTTCTAATTCGTGAACATGAATTCAAATTTGTGAAGATTTTTTTATCTTTATGAACTTTTTCTGTAATTGTAAATATAAACACAGTTTTTTGAGAGCATTCCTAGAAGCAGAGAAAATGAATTAATACGTGAAAATGTGTGTTAAGCCTGTGCATGGCTTGTCACATGCTAATGTGACAGACCACACCCATGCCTGGGATCAACCCTAACAAGACACAAGACATGAGCGCCGCCTGCGCGCCTGTATTGTTACAGGCGGTACCTTGGTCCTGAGAAAATGAATTATTAGGCGCCTTTAGTGTGGCAGAGGCCAACTGGCGCTCACTGCATCATCCAGTTGGGCCGGCCCAAGAATGCACAGTGCAGCAAAACCTGCAGCACCAAAAAACGGTACAAGAATTTGTTCTCTCCAGAATTCGAACTCACACCGTTAAGTTCTCATACGAGCTCAGCTAACCACAACAGCTAGTTAGCACATAATAGGTCCAAATTAATAAGAACAACTGTGGCCACGATATTTATTGTACAACACTGTCTACTGTACCACTGTTATTTCAAAAAAGAATCATGAATTTGAAAAGGTTCATCGATTTTGAAGAAGTTCATCATTTTTGAGGAAAAGTTCACAAACTTGAAGAAAAATTCATCGATTTTGAAGGAAAAGTTCAGCGATGTTGAAAAAATTTCATGAAAAAAATGAAAAAAGTTCATCGATTTAAATAAATTCACAAAACTTTAAAAAAGTTCATAGAATTTTAAGAAAAGTTCATAAAATTTGAAAAATAAAGTTCATTGATTTTTAAGAAAACAACTAACGAGTTTGAAAACTGTTCATCAAATCAGTAAGAAGAAGAAAAAAGGAAAAATGGAAAAGAAGTAGCCATGTGAAGATTGGCGGTGATGCAGTTAGTACATCCTAGCTCGAAGCAGGAGGTCAAAAGAAAAAACAA